GAAAACGAGAGGCGAATGGAGAATAATGTAATGCAAGGGAGAAGAGTTTATGATGGGGACTTGGTATGGCTTGACTTGGCGTAGATCTCCCCGGCAACGATGCCATAAATCCTTCTTGCAACCTCTTGAGCTTGCGTTGGTTTTCCCTTGAAGAGGAAAGGGTGGTACAGCAAAGTAGTGTAAGTATTTCCCTCAGTTTTGAGAACCAAGGTATCATTCCAGTAGGAGACGACGCACCAGTCACCGAATACCTACACAAACAATCAACAACTTGCAACCAAAGCGATAGAGGGGTTGTCAATCCATTCACGGTCACTCGTAAAAATGAGATCGAATAGAGATAGATAAATGGTAAAGTAAATATTTTTGGTATTTTTGGTTTATAGATTGGAAAGCAAATATTGCAAAATAGTACATCGGAAACTAGCAAGATGAAAACGAGATTTAATAATATGGAAAAGAGACCGGGGGGCATAGGTTTCACTAGTGGCTTCTCTTGAGATAGCATATATTACGATGGGTGAACAAATTACTACCGAGCAATTGATAGAAAAGCGCATAATTATGATGACATCTAACATCATCAACATAGGCATCACGTCCGTGTCAAGTAGACCGACTCCTACCTGCATCTACTACTATTACTCCACACATCGACCGCTATCCAGCATGCATCTAGAGTATTAAGTTCATAAAGAACAGAGTAACGCATTAAGTAAGATGACATGATGTTGAGGAATTAACTCAAGCAATATGATGAAAACCCCATCTTGTTATCCTCGATGGCAACAATACAATACATGCCTTTATGCCCCTACTGTCACTGGGAAAGGACACGGAAAGATTGAACCCAAAGCTAAGCACTTCTCCTATTGCAAGAAAGATCAATCTAGTAGGCCAAACTAAACAAATAATTCGAAGAGACTTGCAAAGATATCTAATCATGCATATGAGAATTCAGAGAAGAACCAAATAATATTCACAGATCATCTTGTTCACAAATCCACAATTCATCGGATCTCAGCAAACACACCGCAAAAGAGTATTACATCGAATAGATCTCCAAGAACATCGAGGAGAACATGGCATTGAGAATCAAAGAGAGAGAAGAAGCTATCTAGCTAATAACTATGGACCCGAAGGTCTGTGGTAAACTACTCATGCTTCATCGGAGAGGTAATGGTGTTGATTTAGAAGCCCTCCGTGATCGAATCCCCCTCCGACAGGACGCCGAAAAAGGCCCCAAGATGGGATTTCACGGGTACAGAAGGTTGCGGCGGTGGAAAAGTGGTTTTGTGGCTCTCCCTGATGTTTTTAGGGTATAAGAGTATATATAGGCGAAGGAACTAGGTAAGGGGAGCCACGAGGAGCCCACGAGGGTGGGGGGCGCGCCTACCCACCTGGGCGTGCCCTCCCGCCTCGTGGCTTCCTCGTTGCGTCTCCGACTTCATCTCCAAGTCTTCTGGTTTGCTTTCGGTCCAAGAAATATCATCGCAAAGGTTTCATTACGTTTGGACTCCGTTTGGTATTCCTTTTTTGTAAAACTCTAAAATAGGAAAAAAAAAATTAGAAATTGGCACTGGGCCCTCGGTTAATAGGTTAGTCCCAAAAATAATATAAAATAGCATATTAATGCCCATTAAACATCCAAACCAGATAATATAATAGCATGGAACAATAAAAAAATTATAGATACGTTGGAGACGTATCACGGTTAACTGGCTGACATGCGGGGTGGTGAGAATGTCGTTCATATATATCACTCGCCGGGTGGATAATGATGTCTGGGTGCTTCTTCCTTTATGTCGGCGTGGCGGTGACGGCGTGCGTGTTCGTGCACATGCGGCTGCCGTAAACGAAGGGCCAGATCTTGGAGGATATGGATGTCCACTTCGCCAAATGACATACGTGTCCATTTACTCCATTGTACTACTTGAGAGCTAAAAATATTGGGGCAGACAATATGTCAGGAGTGTGAGAAAAAATAACTCAGCGTCGGTTCAGTTATCCGAATGAAAAAAACATGCTCCGGTGACCCTCCCCATGCGTGTCACGAAGACCTTGCTCATCTGCGGTCGCTCAAACTCTTTTCTTAGATGCCCCTCTCCTCACTGCCGCCAGAGGGCAAGCATTGGGCTAAGCGCATGCGGCCGTGGCAGTGGCAGGGCTTCCTCCCTCCCTCCCATGCTCGAGATCTTGGCGGCGTGGGGTGGCTGCCCGGTGAGGGGGTGGGGTGAGCCTATTCGACGGCCGCATGGCAAGGGGGTCGGGGTGTGACCTAGCAGCACTGGCGTGGTGGTGGTGCTGCACCTGACACAGATGGGCCTGGTCGGCGGCGGTGGATGGCATTTTTGTGGTGGGCGGGCTAGGCCTGCTCTGGTCGGCGGGGATTGGGATCCACTTGATGATTCATTTCCCTTTCCTCTTTTGGCCACCATGCGTAGCATCGGTCCGGGGGACTGCTCTGTCCAGAGGCGCGGGTGGTAGCTATAGCCGCGATGGCAAGGTCGGCGGGATGATGTTGTAGGGGAGGTAGCGCGGGAAGCTCCGACGGCTGAAGACAGCAGCTCTAATGGGGCTCGGGGCAGGAGCAGCAGGCCTCGTGGTTCGTCGTCAGTCGGATCCGGACAGCCAAAGCTGGCCCTCAGGAGGCTTGCTTCCCTGGCAGCGCGACGTGTGTTTGCAGTTGTCTCTGTGGCATGGTGTAGCAAGGCAGGCTGTACATGGCCTATTGACTGTCGGCAATTGAGCTCCAATCCTGGTTGCGCCATTGGTATTTTGGGCTAGATCTAGTCGGGGTCTGGCCCTGTGACCGGTGGTCAGGTGCTTGCTTGGTGGCGATATTTTGTCTTAGTGGTGGAGGGGAGTTGGCCAGAGATGACGGGCGGCGGCCCTAGTTGGTGAGGCTGTGTGGTGGCCTTTGTGGCGCGCAGCGTTGTAGCAGTGGTGCCACCTCCTCTTGGCTATGTGGGTAGTGAGGAGAGGGTAGAAGGTGATCTTCGTGTCGTCTTGGCTTCGGTGGTGACAGCTCCCTGGTCTGAATCTGGAGGCCTGTCGGTTTTGGCAGTGATCCCCCCATCCGGAGTGGGTCGATAACTCTTGTTCCACGGTTGCACATGTGAGGATCTCAACAATTAAAAGCAACGCACTATGGCGGCGACAATTCCCGCAGGTGTCGCTTCCCTCTAGGGGGGCGTTGTTGTGCCTCACGGTGCCAGGGCTCTATGGTGAAAACTCTAGTTCGTCATCTTAGGCTCGGAGGCGGCGGCGCTTGGCATCATCACCCTCTTGAGGGCATCATCGTGGAGCCCTGGTCCCTTTCAGTTCCAACTAGTCATCGCTTCCGAGTTTTCCTTGTCCCTGACATGTTGCATCTTCGACTCTAGAGAGGGATGGTCCTTGTGTTATCCTATCTTATAGATGTGCCCCCTGGTCTTTGTTCTCGGTCCTTGCTTCCTCTTGGCAGAAACATCGCTCCACGACCTGGAACGAGGGGTTAGCTCAACGGCGAGCCGACCCTTACCGGATGTGTCTCGGTGTGTTCGGTACAACGGTCCGGTGGTTTCTCTTGGCAGCTTGGCCCCTGTCTTGTTCAGTAGTCTAGCTAGGTTTTCTCATGCTAGTCATGGCACCTCCTTTTTTCTTGCTCGGTGTTGGCCAGTAGCACTTGTGCTACTAGCTCGAATTCTCTTTTTTTCTCTTAGATCTACTTGTATAAGAGTTTCATCATCATTTTGCTTTACGCATTTATTTATAAAGGGGGCGGGTGTGAGGGGGGGGCGGGGGGATCTGTTTCAAAAAAATTCTGGATCCAACGGATGGCCTTCTTCTTCCTTCTGCCACCGTCTTCCTCATCCGATGTCTGCCATCCTTGGATCATCGGTCGCGTGGCCGCCAACCCCGCTCTCCCCTCCCTGCTGTCCGCCGCCAGCCCTGTAAAGCCCCCAACCTTCCCTTCTTCCCTGGTGTCGAAAACCCCACCACACACCTGAACCGTTAAGCCTCTGACCCCTTCCATGGGTGACATCAATGTCGCGTTGTCACGGGCTCTGGGCCATTCTTGTTGGGGCCTTGCCACCGGTTGTCGTGGTGCCACCGTCTCTGCCACAAGGTTGCATTGTATGGATCGACAGATCTGAGTTCAAAGTTCCAGCAACTTGTTCTCCGCAATGTGAAAAATATTTCTACACTGTGAAGAAGAAAAATCCAAATTATAATAGCTTGGGCCCTGCCGCGCATGTTGGCTTTGCCTACAGCTAGCACTCAGTTTCTGCAGAAATTGCAGGACATAATTGAGAGACTAATAGTAATAAAGATGATGTTAATTTTTATTTGAAAGAAGGAAGATGATGGTAATTACGAAAACCTAAATTAAACAGAGTCCTCTATCTATACTAACACACATCGGCATGGGGTTCGCCGCCGTCGTCGTGCCGGTGTACAACGCCAAGATCCCACCGCCGTCCACGCGGAGCGTGCCGTCGTGGTTGCTCCACGTACGTCCATGGTGGGTTTCGTGGACAGGACTTGATTTGACTTGTGGTGGAGTTTTAACGTCCCTGGATATTATGCTTTGGCCGGATATTTATCAACGTTGGCATATCCTTCTCGGCAACACGTCCAACTAACTTCGCCGCCTTGGCCGGCCTGCCGGTGCACCTTGGCTGGCGCTCCATGTACGTCACCGGGAGTGCTTCTAGATTGCCGGACATAATTGAGAGGCTGGAAACAGTTGAGATCATGTCAATTCCATTGTTTTTGAAATAGCTCATCACTCATATTGAATGATCGAATGATAAGCTCATGCCAATTTCGAAAACCTAAACACACCGAAAATCCTAAATCGATGGACAGGGTTACAGACGTGGGCTCGCTAAGGACGTACGTGTCCAACTAAACACACTCCTATTTGGGTGCCCCTATATATTTTGGCGCAAAGACTAAAGAAAAAAAAAAGAAGAAAAGCTAAGAAAAAATATCTATGCTAGCTTGGAGTAGTGCTACTGTCTCTGCATGCTGAGCTCTTTGCGGAAGTTGCCGATGAACCGCTCCGTGTTGGCAAATAGCTCCTCCCGACTCATCCTCACGTCGCCGTCCATGTCGACGTCGCACTCTTCCTCCTCCTCTTGCGGTGCCTTTTCCTCTCCGCCGGCTTGTTGGCTGCCGTTCAGCGCGCTGAGGAAGAAGATGCTTGCAGTCGATGGGCACTTCTTCAGCACCTTCAGCACCACCTCCTTGGTCTTCGTCTTCAGCTCGATTATATTACTTGCCACAAAGGCAGGCACCACGACACGATCACCCACAACCGCCGTCCGGTCGTCGGGACGGACTGATTCAGCTCCAGCCCTCTGGAACGGTGAGGCCTCGACGGCCTGACCGGCACTCGAAGACCCGTGCCAGTCTTCGTCGTCGGCGATGGAAGCGCCGCCGCTGCCGACGAAGGCCTGGATGCCGAGCGCGAGGACGATGCCGTTGAAGAGAAGGTAGCCGTAGGCGACCCTGAGGAAGACGGGCAGCAGCAGCGCGAGGAGGAGGAGGACAAGGAGGGATCCCAGCTTGGCCACCTGGGAGATCAGTGCCGCCGGCGGGAGCGTGAGCTTGACCCCCATTGATCACGAGCTTTGCCGACTTGCCGATGTAGCTAGCTAGCTAGTGGTTCAGGTGCACTGGATGCCTCTACTGTCTGGGCTCTGGAGCAAGGATAAGGATACTGTCTATCGGTCTAGCCCCCCGGCCAAGTATATATAGATAAAAATCAGATATTTTTCTGCCTGTCTTAAAAATAATGAGATATTTCCTTGCTGGCTAAGAAAAAGAAACATATCTGTCACTGCACTGATGACGTGGAAGAATTTGTAGTGGGTATACCTACCGGTTGCTCCACTAGTAGTAGACCAAATTGAATTAGCGGGAAACTACAAATCGTTGGGGAAACATCACATTAAGCGAGCTAGCTGGTCTCAGTATCAGTGCGTGCCTACGTAGTATAGTACACAGATCGAATACTTAGGGCGGTCCAAATTCGTGTGCATGCCATACGCGCACATTACGTGTCCGTGGTGCCGCAGAAATATGATGCAGTGAACGAGTTAGCGCGTTGGACGGTGCTACGAGTACGTACAGTGGCGATCAGCCGCAGAAGGGCTTGTCCCTCAAAATCATGACGCGCCGGCTGCGGACGAGTCCATATTGGCCCTGTCGGCCAAGGTTTGTGGCAATAGTTTAATAGCCTAACAGATGAACGCACGTTACACACGCACGCACGGACATATATATATATATATGATCACCTCGAGGGATATTTCTCTTCCACCAACGTTATAAGGTCTGAAAATAAATGCAAGCATATATGTCTGTGCGATGCGCTTTTAGTGCGAGGAGACGTTCCCGTCAACGACAAGGCGCATATGATGACTTCGTAAAATCTCAAGATTATACGCCGGTTCAGTCTCTCAAAAGTGCTCATAGGTGCAGGATGTGCGTGTGTGTGTTCATAGGATGAGTGTATGCGCGTATGTATGAGCGCTTGCCTTTGTACCATGTTTCAAAAAAAAGTTGAAGAGTTGAACCCGAGATATTCAAAGAAAGTATATGTTTCTGAAAATGGAATCTTTTCGACCTTTACATCATGTAAGATAGGGCACTCAAAAATAGTTATAGGGCACCACTGCTCCAACAAATGATGTAAAATAGAGCACCTAAAACTTGTTCATTGCATACTTCAATTCAAACGTCCAAAATACAAAGTTTTAAACATGCAAAGTTAAACTTGATCATTCCATACTCTGATCCAAACATTCAAAAGTTTTAAACATATAAACTTAAACGTAGTATGATTGACTCCTACAGACACTAGATAACTACTCGCCATCCTCATCACTGGAGCGCAGAAGGTCGACCAAATCAATGTCATCATGAGTGTTGTCCTTCTTGATCGCCCTTGAGGCGCCACCCTCGTCCTCCTCATCCTTCGTCTTTTTGCACTGCGCAAAGAACCTCATCCATCTGCACCAGGTGCAGATTCTCCACGACGAAACTCGCAATAGCCGCCTCATCGCTCTCACAGGTGTTGAGCTAATCCAGGATGATATGGGTTTTGTTGGGGAACGTAGTAATTTCAAAAAAATTCCTACGCACACGCAAGATCATGGTGATGCATAGCAACGAGAGGGGAGAGTATTGTCCACGTACCCTCGTAGACCGTAAGCGGAAGCGTTATGACAACGCGGTTGATGTAGTCGTACGTCTTCACGATCCGACCGATCCAAGTACCGAACGTACGGCACCTCCGAGTTCAGCACACATTCAGCTCGATGACGATCCCCGGACTCCGATCCAGCAAAGTGTCGGGGATGAGTTCCGTCAGCACGACGGCGTGGTGACGATGATGATGTTCTACTGGCGCAGGGCTTCGCCTAAACTCTGCGACGATATGACCGAGGTGAAATATGATGGAGGTGGGCACCACACACGGTTAAGGAACGATCACGTAGATCAACTTGTGTGTTCTAGGGTGCCCCCTGCCCCCGTATATAAATGAGCAAGGGGGGAGGCCGGCCGGCCCTTGTGGGCGCGCCAAGGAGGAGGAGTCCTCCTCCTAGTAGGAGTAGGACTCCCTCTTTCCTACTCCTACTAGGAGGGGGAAAGGAAGGGGGAGAGGGAGAGGGAAAAAGGGGGGCGCCGCCCCCCCTCTCCTAGTCCAATTCGGACCAGAGGGGGAGGGGGCGCGCGGCCCATGCTGGCTGCCCCTCTCTCTCTCCACTAAGGCCCATAAGGCCCATTACTTCTCCTGGGGGGTTTCCGGTAACCCTCCGACACTCCGGTTTTCTCCGAAAATGCCCGAAACACTTCCGGTGTCCGAATATAGTCGTCCAATATATCAATCTTTATGTCTCGACCATTTCGAGACTCCTCTTCATGTCCGTGATCACATCCGGGACCCCGAACAAACTTCGGTACATCAAAACTTGTAAACTCATAATAGAACTGTCATCGTAACGTTAAGCGTGCGGACCCTACGGGTTCGAGAACTATGTAGACATGACCTAGAACCATTCTCGATCAATAACCAATAGCGGAACCTGGATGCCCATATTGGCTCCTACATATTCTACGAAGATCTTTATCGGTCAAACCGCATAACAACATACGTTGTTCCCTTTGTCATCGGTATGTTACTTGCCCGTGATTCGATCGTCGGTATCCAATACCTAGTTCAATATCGTTACCGGCAAGTCTCTTTACTCGTTACGTAATGCATCATTCCGTAACTAACTCATTAGCTACATTGCTTGCAAGGCTCATAGTGATGTGCATTACCGAGAGGGCCCAGAGATACCTCTCCGACAATCGGAGTGACAAAACCTAATCTCGAAATACGCCAACCCAACATGTACCTTCGGAGACACCTGTAGTACTCCTTTATAATCACCCAGTTACGTTGTGACGTTTGGTAGCACCCAAAGTGTTCCTCCGGCAAACGGGAGTTGCATAATCTCATAGTTGCAGGAACATGTATAAGTCATGAAGAAAGCAATAGCAATATACTAAACGATCAAGTGCTAGGCTAACGGAATGGGTCATGTCAATCACATCATTCTCCTAATGATGTGATCCCATTAATCAAATGACAACACATGTCTATGGTTAGGAAACATAACCATCTTTGATTAATGAGCTAGTTAAGTAGAGGCATACTAGTGACGTTATGTTGGTCTATGTATTCACACATGTATCATGTTTCCGGTTAATACAATTCTAGCATGAATAATAAACATTTATCATGATATGAGGAAATAAATAATAACTTTATTATTGCCTCTCGGGTATATTTCCTTCAGTCTCCCACTTGCACTAGAGTCAATAATCTAGATTACATAGTAATGATTCTAACACCCATGGAGTCTTGGTGCTGATCATGTTTTGCTCATGGAAGAGGCTTAGTCAATGGGTCTGCAACATTCAGATTCGTATGTATCTTGCAAATCTCTATGTCTCCCACCTGGACTTGGTCCCGGATGGAATTGAAGCGTCTCTTGATGTGCTTGGTCCTCTTGTGAAATCTGGATTCCTTTGCCAAGGCAATTGCACCAGTATTGTCACAGAAGATCTTCATTGGTCCCGATGCACTAGGTATGACACCTAGATCGGAAATGAACTCCTTCATCCAGACTCCTTTATTTGCTGCTTCCGAAGCAGCTATGAACTCCGCTTCACATGTAGATCCCGCCACGACGCTTTGTTTAGAACTGCACCAACTTACAGCTCCACCGTTTAATAAAAACACGTATCCGATTTGCGATTTAGTATCGTCCGGATCAGTGTCAAAGCTTGCATCAACGTAACCATTTACTACTAGCTCTGTGTCACCTCCATATACGAGAAACATATCCTTAGTCCTTTTCAGGTATTTCAGGATGTTCTTGACCGTTGTCCAGTGATCCACTCCTGGATTACTTTGGTACCTTCCTGCCAAACTTATTGCTAAGCATACGTCAGGTCTGGTACACAGCATTGCATACATGATAGAGCCTATGGCTGAAGCATAGGGAACATCTTTCATCTTCTCTCTATCTTCTGCTGTGGTCGGGCATTGAGTCTGACTCAATTTCACACCTTGTAGCACGGGCAAGAACCCTTTCTTTGCCTGATCCATTTTGAACTTTTTCAAAACTTTATCAAGGTATGTGCTTTGTGAAAGTCCAATTAAGCGTCTTGATCTATCTCTATAAATCTTGATGCCCAATATGTAGGCAGCTTCACCGAGGTCTTTCATTGAAATTTTTTTATTCAAGTATCCCTTTATGCTATCCAGAAATTATATATCATTTCCAATTAATAATATGTCATCTACATATAATACAGGCTTTCTTGTAAATACAGGCTTCTCCAAAAGTCTGTATAAAACCATATGCTTTGATCACACTATCAAAGCGTTTATACCAACTCCGAGATGCTTACACCAGTCCATAAATGGATCGCTGGAGTTTGCACACTTTGTTAGCACCTTTTGGATCAACAAAACCTTCTGGTTGCATCATATACAACTCTTGTTCCAGAAATCCATTCAAGAATGCAGTTTTGACATCCATTTGCCAAATTTCATAATCATAAAATGCGGCAATTGCTAACATGATTAGGACAGACTTAAGCATCGCTACGGATGAGAAAGTCTCATCGTAGTCAACCCCTTGAACTTGTCAAAAACCTTTCGCAACAAGTCGAGCTTTATAGACAGTTACATTACCATCAGCGTCAGTCTTCTTCTTAAAGATCCATTTATTCTCAATGGCTTGCCGATCATCGGGCAAGTCAACCAAAGTCCATACTTTGTTCTCATACATGGATCCCATCTCAGATCTCATGGCCTCTAGGCATTTTATGGGATCTGGGCTCATCATCGCTTCCTCATAGTTCGTAGGTTCATCATGCTCAAGTATCATGACTTACAGAATAGGATTACCATACCACTCTGGTGCGGATCTTACTCTGTTAGACCTACGAGGTTCAGTAGAAACTTGATCTGAAGTTTCATGATCAATATCATTAGCTTCCTCACTAATTGGTGTAGTTGTCACAGGAACCGGTTCTTGTGATGAACTACTTTTCA